CCACGATAATTGCCACTTTACAGTATATCATTAAAGGTATTTTACAAGTACCTTATAAATTTGAATTCTTAATTAAAAAGGAGATTCATATAAAAAAATGACAGCACTATATATCCATTAAGACAAACTTGATCATTCTCATCCTCAAAGTCATGTATCAACTTCAAGATAGGAGAGTTCCAATAAAGATGACAATACATTACATCCTTCCTTTCATGGAGTTATTTGCTTTCTTGAACTTTTGGTCAAAAAAATAAATTTGCTAACAGTGAAATTCACTAGGTAATACTATACTAGCTAATGTATTAAACATTAAATAAAACATGTAATACAGAAGTCAATTAATAGAAGAGATCCAATCAAGATGACAATACATCTGATTACACCCCCTACTCTATGGTGCAACATAAAACATGTAATGTAGAAGTCAATCCTAGTCTCTTGTACCTAGCTTCAAGATAGGAGAGATCCAATCAAGTTGACAATACATCTAATTAAACTCCCTACTCTAACAGTATGGTGCAAATGATGTGCATAGTTCTGTCGCATAAATTACCACTAAAGATGGGATTGTCGTTGTATGTGATATCATGATTCAATAGTCAATTCTACATGTAAAATGACCACAACAAAAAATGTCCCCCAACTAACATACATTTACTAGCCAAACTCTGACACAAGTCGCTGGATTCATTTTCTTTTGCATACCATAATATACATTTCACCAGTATGGCAGAATACCGAAACACACGAGTGCATAGCATGAGTGAAAATAAGGTATACAAGTAAAGTATATAGTATATAACAGGAAACCATTGAATTTTGTATTAATTTCATTCAAAACTACCTTCAACAACAAAAATGTTACTGAATCAAAGCTGTTTGTGATTTAATAGTGTAATCATTAGCGTAATATTTTAATGATGTCACCCTCAGCACCAACAATGATTTTGATATCTGTCACAGTGTGAAAGACATCAGTTTGATCAAGTTGATAGAATTTGATATTTCACAGACAAAAATGTAATAAATTATGTGATCTTGATATACACATATTAAGTATTTCTATTACTTTAAATTAATAATTTATGAAAGTAGTTAACATCATGACAGAATATTTGCAAATTATTTGCGACTGAGAAATTTCCATGATGCCAAATTTCCTTTCTATTTCTCAACAACCAAGCCATTTTTATTATTCATTTCAATTTCTGTGGGTTAAATTCATGTAAATCATCGACCAGGTAATACATCTGGGGTCTGTTTTTATTATTCAGAAGGATCACCAAGGCAGCGGGGTTTCATTCCCCGACTGCACGTGAACAGGTGTGGGGTCATCTGCCCAACCATGTGGGCTATCTCCAGGAACTCTGAATTCCTCCCACATTCAGATTCCTGCACGCTAACATCCTGGCCGACAACAATGATTGATATAAGTTCAAAAAAATGTTTCATAATGTTTTTAAATAAATAAAGTTTATATTTTATATTTGAATGCTACATTTTTCAGAAGTAAAGCCTGCAACATCTGAAACTCCTCTTCTCTTAAGCTCACCTGAAAACATATTAATTTGTAGCTAAAAGAAAGGGACATGCACAGTTGTGCATTACTGCTTCTTGCACTATCTAAGCTTTGATCAAAGTTAGTACATCCCTGTGATGCAGGAAAGTCGTAACCCTGCAGAACGCTGTCTTCGCTCATGTTTTTGGTCGGTTTAAATCATATTGTCGTCTGGTTAAGGTGTACCGTGTTTCCTGCTGTTGTGCGTTTGGAACTGCCTTCAAGATTGTACAACTCATGTCTGTAAAGAATGTAAAACAACTAAATAATCTTGTTATTTTTTTTTTATATATTACCACTGCCAGGCGTGATGGCTACCTTGTAATATCATTGTGCTATGTTGTATACCGTATATGTATTAACTGCACGAATTATGACACGGGGCGATATTGTTATGTTACACATTGTTCAGCCTCCGTTATCTTGTATAAATTACATTTAATGTTTAAAACGTGTATGGTATTACATTGTGAAACACCTATAAGCGGTACTGCTTTTGTAATAAGCGGATTGAATTGTATTGACAATGAGTTTTTATGGTGTTTATGTTGAAGCATCCGATCACCATAGACTCGAATTGACCCTATAGTAGGTAAGTTCTAGTCTTGCTAAAAAAAATAAAGCAAACTTTTTAAAGAACTCTTATCCCGATATCACCGACTCGGAAATAGTTGTTAATATTGTTCTTTTTTGTAAAAATGACGCGGCCGTTTTAAAACACCACTTATCATCTTATGACATAAACCCGGAAAAACATCCAACTGGGATTGGCGCCAAATTACACGCGATAAGGTAAGGTGTACTTTTGTTAATATTTACGTAAAATTAACTCCAATTTTATTATCATTTTGGTTAATACGAAGTAGTGTGTTTATGTATGTAAATGGTTCCTTGCTCTTTTAGTAAATTTCAGGCTGTCCAGTCCACTAATAATTTCTGCAGTTTTTGTTACTTAGAAAAGTAAAATTGTTTCCGTACAGCTATGTACGGCTTGGGGTATATAATTTGTACAAACAATTTAAAGAATTCGACCCAAAGTTAGACGCGGACTATGACGCCGGGGCACAACACTGGCATTAAAGAAGCGACATCAAACTTCATAGCCGTTCAATTGTACCTTTATGTTGCCGCGCGATTCTTTTGATGTACATCATCATCCTCAGAGTGGCGCGTACAGAACTTTCAATTATGTAACGACATATTCCAAGGGTATCTAGAATGACATGCGTATCGAGAGACGAACTCTTGGATTTCAAGGATGTACTTTTCCTGGCTGGCGAATTATCTTGTAATAATCTTAGAAGGCCAACACATAATCTTTCACTAAAACGGTGGGACGAGTTTATAACAGGATAATGAAATAGCATTTGATTGCATTTCTACCGAACTGCAAAATATTGGGTTGGGCTTACCACCAGCCATGGACATACTGTCAGATAAATATGGTAAACCAAAATAAATGTCTAAATCTGCCTTTGTCAGGTTTGTAAAGAAAGGACTGCCATTGTAAAGTTCTGGCACTCTTTTTTTTATTCAATCATGTAACACATGACACCACTGTCGTTTCGTGTCTTTCAAAACCGTTTTTCTGGTTAGCTAATGCAGAAACTTCTTAGATCAACGTTCTTTGTTCCTGCTTTCAGTAGACACCATTTTGAGAACACACTGGGTTTCCCCGAAACAATGAAACGGAGCAAGCACAAATAACACAGAGTATCACATTTATCGAGTTTGAAAGGTTGAATGGAAGTTGTTGGAAATTAACTCGGACAATGGTTTTTATCTAACTTTATTCAATTATTACTTTTAAGAGTGATCATAAGTGTACGGATCTGTGTTTGGAGAACACTGTAGAAGCAGTGTCCACGCTGAAGGTATTTGAGTCATTTATACTTATATTATCTGTAAAACGTTTTCTCTGTTCTCTTTAATTATTCTACACAGTAATGATTGCCGATATCTACTGAAGACTTGAGCAGGTCCAGTACACTCTGCCGTTTGAGCTATATAGCTGTAAAGACCTATAATAGCTCTATTGACCTATCTGAAATAGGTCTTTAGAGCTATTTTCATGTGTTTTTCTTTTTTAAGGAAAACGAAACAAAGTCGCTTTTAAAATAAGATTTATCATTATGATGATAACAAAAGACATCAAATATAAGTATTCTTTTTAAAAAATAATGATGAAAATAAATCAAAAATTTTACATTTATGAAAAATGAAAATAAACATCTGACTGTATGCTTTTTGTAGTCAACATTACCATAAACCTTATTGTTTAATGCGACTTTGCTTTGATTTAATGAGATTTGAAATCTGAGAAAATATAGCTCTATATAGCTATAATTTATAGGTGAATACAGCTATATAGGTCTTTATAGCTATATAGCTCAATCGGCAGAGTGTACTGGACCTGTTGAGTATTACAGTCAGAGACGTATATAACACGTCTCTGTTACAGTGTTGAAAGACTTCATATAATTCGCACAAATGCTATGCTTTTAGTATAGGGGTTGTCATTTTAGGGCACAAGAGAAAAAAACACGGGTTGGCAAAAAACACCCAGAATGAGATAACTGTTATTTGTGTCTGTATCGGGATACCCGGCGAGAAAGGACATGCTCATTCGACATGAGTTTTACTCCTTTATTTCAATGAAAATCTTTTCAGATTCGTGTGATGAAATGTCAACTGAAAGCCCTGCTTGTTGTGTGTATTATCTCATTCAAACTATTTCTGATGAATGCAAGAAACAAACATTATTTTCATTCTATTTATTGACATTTTTTGTTTGTATCAAAATAGATGCCAGTGTCACAACAGACCTACACACATTCATTCACTAGACATCCACTACTATGCATCAAACACAGTTTTATCACATTGCATCATATGCCCGGTGTTAAGTATCCCTATACCATTTTCTAAACACTGCAACAATTCATTGGAAATCCCCCACGACACGACCATAGCTTTGGTACATCATTTTGAAAGAAAAAAACAAACATTGCCAAACTATTACGTAAAAATAATACTCAATTAAGCTGGTCATACCCGTAACAGAATTAAACGAAGGTAACTGTTTGTTTGAAAAATTACTGTGAAATTCTGAAGTGTTTGCCTACAGTGGGTCAACAAGAGTGATTAATATAAGTTGAAATAACTTGTTTCATAATTGTTGAAAAATAAATAAAGTCCATATTAAATATTAAGTGGGTCAGATATCCTGAAAATTGATTTATAGTATTAACTTGAACCAGCAATTTCAAGATAATCAGTAAGTCACAACAAATATACACAACAGTTCATCTAAATCTTTAGGTGTTTAAGGTTTCTTTTTAGAAATTGACATTATCAATGGAAAAAAATCTTTAGTTCAATAATCTGATTAAAATCATCTGTTACTGCCACGGTCAGGGTCACGTTCAGGTGACCTTTAGATGGACCAATCAGAGGCGCGCTGGCAAAAGTTCAGGCAGAGCCATGTAACAGATGATTTTAATCAGATTGATAGTTTTACAAAGTGAAATATCAGGGGATATTTTATTTAAATCATAATCATATGCAGCACTCAAACTGTCCCTTAGTAAGCCGACAATTACGTGTTGTTCATGATACAGGTCAAAATTGCGTTGACATTACTTGTATTGAAACACACACCATAATTCTTTTTTGATTTGAATATTTTGGATTAAATGTCCATTCAACAGCATTTTTGAAAACAAACATTTACATGTATATAAGTGTATCTGACATGACTTTCCTGACGTATCTAAATATCTTATCATCAACCAATAATTAACAGGGCTATAAAGTGTATCCTTGAAACCCAGCGATTCTGCTCACAATAAATATATCTCCTCTGCACCCATGGACTATATCGGGACAAAATCGAAGACTCTCAAACTCATTCACCCCTGAAAAAGCATTTAAACTTCTCCATTTCAAAGGCTGGAATAGTTCAGAATGACATTTGAGGGATAAATGAGTTAAGCAACATCTTTCAAATTTTACAAGTAGATAAGATCAAAGGAATAGCGTGTAGTGCCAAGGTAAAATTGAAAGGCTTTGACGTTGGGTTTAGCTCCTCTGTATTCTTCAAAGGACAGGTATCAGCCTAGCAATCGGTCAGGTTATTTTTGTACGTGAAACCAATCAATTATCTTACCATGAGCCTTCGCTTTTGTCATGACATATAGACTATGTAGGGGTGCAGATCTCGAGAAGATATGTTTTTCAAGAACCGACCCCATGGGTTTCGATGATAAGTAATGCTTAATGACTTACATTATTTCACCTGTGATTTGCTATAACCTAAAGAATAACTTAACTAGCATTTTGTTAATAATTCACATGTATATATATCGTAATGTCATTTATACACGCATTCTTGCATACAAAGTGTACCTTCAAATATGTCAGCAAATGACAGGCCAAGTCAGAATTAAATAGTACACTGTATTTAATAGTGAAATCCTTACAGGTACAAATGTTCACGTTGTGACTGATGTGGGAATTTTCACGTTGGAAATCGTTATGATATCAAGATCTTCTATAATCTTTAAATAAATATTGTCATCTGCATATTTTTGCTGTAGTTTATTGAACGTGAAAATTGCTACTTTACAGTAAATCATTAAAGGTATTTTACAAGTAGTTATAAATTTGAATTTTTAATTAAAAAGGAGATTCATATAAAAATATGACAGCACTATATATCCATTAAGACAAAGTTTATCATTCTCATCCTCAAAGCACTGATTCTGCTCTCTTTGGAATGCATAAGAAAGGACACCATGGTAGGCCAAGCACTAGTCATGTATCAACTTCAAGATAGGAGAGTTCCAATGAAGATGACAATACATTACATCCTTCCTTTCGTGGAGTTATTTGCTTTCTTTAACTTTTGGTCAAAACAATAAATTTGCTAACAGTGAAATCCACTAGGTAATACTATACTAGCTATTAAACATTACATAAAACATGTAATACAGAAGTCAATTAATAGGAGAGATCCAATCAAGTTGACAATACATCTAATTACACTCCCTACTCTAAACAGTATGGTGCAACATAAAACATGTTCTGCCGCATAAATTACCACTCAAGATGGGATTGTCGTTGTATGTGATATCATGATTCAATAGTCAATTCTACATATAAATTGACCACAACAAAAAATATCCCCCAACTTACATACTAGCCAAACTCTGAAACAAGTAGGCTGGATTAATTTTCTTTTGAATACCATATAACATTTCACCAGTACGGCAGCATAGCCATACCAAAATTGTACACGAGTGCATAGCATGAGTGAAAATACAGTATACAAGTAAAATATATAGTATATAACAGCAAACCATTGAATTTTGTATTTGTTTCATTCAAAACTACCTTCAACAACGAAAATGTTACTGAATCAAAGCTGTTTGTGATTTAATAGTGTAATCATTAGCGTAATATTTTAATGGTGTCACCCTCGACAACAACGATTTTGATATCTGTCACAGTGTGAAAGATATCAGTTTTATCAAGTTAATAAAATTTGATATTTCACAGGCAAAACTGTAATAAATTATATGATCTTGATATACACATATTAAGTATTTCTATTACTTTAAATTAATAATTTATAAAAGTAATTAACATCATGGCAGAATATTTACCAATTATTTGCGACTGAGAAATTTTGCTGATGCCAAATTTCCTTTCTATTTCTCAACAACCAAGCCATTTTTATTATTCATTTCAATTTCTGTGGGTTAAATACAAGTACACCTGTACAGTTGCTGTACAGAGTCACATGAAACAGTCATGGTCATTTCTTTTTTTGGCGGTTTTACCTAGCATTTTGTTCATAAAAACTCTCCGAGTCAGCTTGTATTTGTGAGCTCCACATATTTCAGTTGTACATATTTTCCTTTCCTTTCCAAAATTGCAACATATAAGGCCTTGAACATTGTCCACCTGAGGACTTTATCCTATTAACAGGTCAGCGCGGTTACTGTTTTCAATTGGAAAACTTGTCCAGTAACTCTAGCCATTGACTGGTAGAAAAAAATGGCTGTTCTTTATTTTTTTATGTAAATCATCTACCAGGTAATACATCTGGGGTCTGTTTTTATTATTCAGAAGGATCACCAAGGCGGCCGGGTTCCATTCCCCGACTGCACGTGAAAAGGTATGGGGTCATCTGCCCAACCATGTGGGCTATCTCCAGGAACTCTGAATTCCTCCCACATTCAGATTCCTGCACGCTAACATCCTGGCCGACAAACAATGATTGATATAAGTTCAAAAAACTTGTTTCATAATGTTTTTAAATAAATAAAGTTTATATTTTATATTTGAATGCTACATTTTTCAGAGGTAAAGCCTGCTACATCTGAAACTCCTCTTCTCTTAAGCTCACCTGAAAACATCAAAAGACCAATAGGTGTGTCACTATTTCTAAATGAAATAATTCTGGTCTAGGTTTTTTTTAAACCATCAATGCAAGTACCTGATCAAAAGACAGAACTGTGTGGGCCTTTTTGTTCAAATGAAACATTTTCAGGAGTTCAGCCTGGCAAACATGCAAATGTTGACGAAGACCTCGTAATTCTTTGTCAAGGCTTTCGTAAAGCGAACATCAGACCACAAGGTTCGTCCCTATTTCATAAATAAACAACTCTGGCCCAACAGGCGATGAGTGAATGTTGCAGAGATATTTCTTACAAGGGACGTAACTCTAGGATTTATTTTCACTCAGAGTTCCAGCTCATTGTCTTCATCCTTATCACACAAGCTTTCTCAAGTCTATCACCAAGTTTATTAAACAAACATGATAGCACTGGACGATAAGTGTTGCTCTTTAGTCCAGTATGACCTGTCCCTCTGCACCGTCGGGCATGATGTGCTTTTTCCCATGATGCATGTCAAACTCCCGTCGCAGGAATGCAAATAGAAGGTCGGTGACTAGGAATATCTGGCAAGAAAAAACAGGTTTTTTTAAAATCAACTAGTCTTGAATTGTCCTCACCTCGAAAGTAAGTGACAACAAAATTCTGCAAATGATTTCTACATTCTATTTAGATGTACACCAAATATTGACACGGGATTTAAAATCAAATTTTGTCAGTTTGTGGAAATATTGTACAGTCTGTGTACGTTTGGGTTGTTTCCACTAAGCTTGTTTGACAGATAAAGAACAAAGTCAGAGTATTTAGAAAATTTTCTGTGGAAAATATCATCCAATTAATTTCAAATTATTTGTATTAGAAAGTAATGCAGCAAAATAAGTGTATAACATACCCCAAGATACATGAAAATTAGCTTTCTATATGCATACATCTTGTGTATAATTCTTATTCTCATAATGTCAGAATATGATCTTCCTGAAACAATTCCATGTACACACCAAACCAAAATATGACTCCATTATAATCAAGATTTGCATAAAGTTTGGTTGTAATAAGACTGTCTTTAATATTGTAATCTATTTCTTCTATAAAATCGACAATAACATTTTTTAAAGACACAAAAAGATTTTTCCTGGTTTCTTCAAAATGACAAATAAAATGTGACTACTTACCTCAGCTGTTGAGAATGCCAAAGCTATGGCAAAGTAAAAGTTTGCATTGGCACTGCCCGCATATAACCAGAGGTGATGGAGAATCGGCGCAAACACAGTCGTACACACGAACATGCACGTCACAACAAACGTATTACGCATGTCTGAAAGGGGAAAAAAACAATTAACATTATTAAGATCAACACCCACCAGACTCAATAAAGATGAATTATAGTATCATCCCCAATGGTATCACAGGTTTCCCCAACTCTCAAACACCTGCATTTTGACTCCTTAATCTGACTAAGGACTCCCAAAATTGTTATAATTTTGCACTTCATTATGTGTATTTTGAGTCCTTGGACTCTAAAATGTCAGAAATTTGAGGGAAAACCCTGGGTATTATACAAATGTATCCTATTGACTGAATGATGTATAAAGGTATTCTTGATTTAATAACAATACCCAATGCACTTAAGCCAAATAAAAGATGTTATTTGTTTCTAGTTACTCTACCCACCCTATTTTTGTTAGGATTTTCAAGAAAGCACTGTTAAAATTCTAGCCCAAGTTTCCTCTGGCCCTAGCATTAGACTTAAGACATTTAGCCAGATAGATATCTGGTGTGTCTTGTAATGTAAATAGCTGTTTTGTAATTATTACAATGTTAAAACAATACAACAAATATAAATGAAAGTTTATTTCAAGTGGAAGCTTCCAAAATAAACAAACTGAAAACTATATACAGGGCTGGTTCCTGACTAATTTGCTTACTTATTCATATTCCAAGTGGAAAGTTTGTGGAAAATAAAACCTTCGACTCTTTAGGACATATACAGTACCAAAATTCAGTAGAAATGTAAATATTTACACTTACATGAGAATACATGTTTCCATAAGGGTAGTAAGCACAGGAATAGCCCCACATCAGCAAAACTGGGGTATGATTTAAATATACCGATAAGAAATATCAGCAGGTACAACAGGAAAACTGGGTGTTCTCTACAAAAGACATATGTAAAGACAAATTAGGAATATTGATTACAAGTCAGAAATGTTAAGACACAGATCAGGTAAAGACTGTGTATATAGTTCAGACATTTTTTTATCACCTAAATCCATTAAATTTAATTAAATCATTGTTTCTAGATACAAAAAATAATCATAGTTCTTCCCTCAAAAACTCTAGAATGCATGTTTAAACAAACTTACCGGTACATCAAACATACGAAAAGCTTTCGGAACATTTTTTACATGTAGATAAATGCCTTAATGCAGCATGCAATGATCGGTGGATTGACCTGTTGATGGTCTTTTACACAAGTATAATACTGTTGTTTTTCCTTTGAAAGACAAGTAGGATGAAAGACCCCTGATTGTATGAAACTTCTTAAAATTGCTTGCAAATAATTTGATTGCTAATTAATAAAAAGTATTTATCAGTAGAAATGCAGACCTTGCTTGATCTTTTGCTTAATTGTTTCCGTATTATTTTTTCCCATCCATATCATTCTGGTAAGAATTTCTTAGTTCTTGGGTTATTCTATCATTAAGCAATTTTGTGATGTTTTTAATCTTTCAGTTTCATTAATTACTTTTATTTATTTAGAAAATGGATATAATCACAACATACTCGAGCATCACCAATAAGTGGGTTTAAAAGTTAATTTGGTCAACTAGTTTCGTCTCTTAAGTTGAGGCTCTAGCTAACAAATTAGCCGACTAGTTTGACTTGATTGAGGCTCCACTTTAGAGACAAAACTAGTCAGCAAAGTAAACTTTTAAACCCATCTATTGGTGATGCTTGAGTATGTTGTGATTATATCCATTTTCTTTATATGTGCCTATATTCTGTAATCGCCCTGCATATCTGTTGGTATTCGTACTCAAAGCGAAGCGTCCACTGATCAACCCACAAACCTACACCTGACGTTGGCTCCATTACCTTATTTTTTATTTATTTATGACATACTGCACCTTATTTTTTTATTTATTAAGTACGTACTGCTTGGTATCTTATTGACCTTTTTACATGAAGAAAGAAATAGGATGAATTAATCTGTAGTTGCATTTCATAACCAGACACTTACAATGTGCTCTTCAGTCAATATTTTAAGGAGTACTACGTTGTAAGGCTGCAATCATACATGAACATGACGACGATACAATATCTATCAAGATACTGTGGTCACGATACGCTACATATCAAGATACATATAGTAACAGTAGAAGCAAAGAGAACAGATATGTTCAAATTATTAATGGCAATGTAACTGGAAATAGATTCGGTCAAAAATGGACATGACTTAAAAGTTTCACACAATTCACGTCTTTCGAGCTGAACGGAGCGGAACTGTCACTCACCATGTTGGAAGTCCCAAATTGTTTATCTTACCGTATTGAAAATATATCGCAATATTGTGTTGCATGACATTTCATTGCAGCCTCATTACACTGTACACATTATTAAGAGTTTCATACAGATCTAGGAGACGGGATTGACGTGGCATAACATTTTAAGTTGAGGCTATTTTTATTATTATATCACTGATTGTTTCTTACCGGAGTTTGATGGAGAGTGGAAAGGTGTAGATGACGACATTGATTTGAAACACACAGATGAAGAAAGTTCGGAAATGCTCGAACATCTCGGTAAAGAAATACCAGAAAACACCCAGGTTTGGTGTCAGATCTGGCACAGTCAACCTAAAACACAAAATAAAAGTCAGAAAATGTTAACTTAGAAAAGACAATATTCAAATTACTGAACAAACTAGAGAAAGTCACAAAGACAAAGCCCCGCTTGTCGAAATTTTTTTTTTAAAGGGCCGTAACTCCAAGAAGCTGGAGTTGTTGTATCAAGTACTGTGCTTATAATTACACATGCTGGTAAACAACAACAAATCACTGCCTTACTTTCAAATAACCACGCCTGTGACGACGACCACTAGTTGCTCTGGTCCGACCAAAGGAAATCGGTAGGTTGTACCATATAGTGGCCAGACATGAGCACCACAATTTCTTGTTTCTTTACACATGCACAATACACATTACTAAAGTGAGTTCGATCATACTCTACTTAAACCATAGTCATTATAGTTGATGATCGAACTCGCCCTAAATATCGTGCACTTTCACTGTGTCAAGTTACGAAATATCCAAGCAACAGTTTGTGAGGAGTTGTGATTAAAAGGATCATGGACAGACGGACCAACATGGTGATTCCTATACCCCCCTCTTTTTCGGCCGTTTTAATAATTCATTATTGGTAATAATATAGTAAAGGGTGCCACAGCGCTAGTTCTAATCACAAAAAAGAATATCCTGTTAAATCATTCACCCCTGAAATTTCATAATGAACTATTCCAAATTTTGAATTGGAAGGGTTCAAATGTGTCTTCAGGGGTGAGTGGGTTAAATTGAAAAGATAAAATGTCATGTTCTCAAACTGAAATATACCAGTTCATATTTAATGAAAATATTCACCATGAAATTTAATGAAAATACTGAGGATTAATTTTGGCAGAGGTAGGGGATCCTTAACATAAACTTTAAGTTTCTCAATTGTTAGATTTATGTGCATGCTTACGTAAAGCCATAAGTTGAGTTAAGGAAATCCCAAGATTCCTCTAGGAATGCAGATGCTCCAATGAATGCTGCTAACCACACCAGGGTGATCACACTAGTCTGGACGTAGCTGGACAGGGCACGGGGGTCAGTGTAGGACACACAGGTAGGATAAGAGCGCTAAGGACAGAAAGCAAAAATAATTATGAACAGTTTTTCCATAGTAAACATTTGTAATTCACATTTGTGTGTCTTAAGGTCACCTTTCCAGATACAAGGCGATAGACTCTGCTTGTGGATTTCTTAGTCCTTGAGATTTGCCGTAACTAGATAGCCACAGTTATCTCTTTTCAAAATGTAGTAGCATGCTTCATAACATCCACACTTAACTCATTATTAACTTGAAATTAACCAGCCCTCCCCTAAACTGTGAAATTCATATAAATAAGGGGCTTTACTGATTTCCCCTTCCACTTAAACAGACATTTAGACCAATTTTGACTCACCATAAATTTTAAACGTTCAAACTTTATTCCCAAATGTTGTTTTTATTATTAATAGGATATGGAATGCCTTGGCCTTAGCTGCTGTATCACATATATTATATAAATATATAGAACATTTCAATTACAATTATAACATCATGGCCGTTTTCGTGTAAACGGTCAAACCGGTCGGACCACAGTTGTTTATCATTTATATAAATAAAGTCTGACCTAGTTATCTGATGCTGCTTTCAGGTGAGCCTTGACAAAACCTTGCAAGGCCTGCATAAACATTTACAGGTCAGCCAGGATTTACATCCGAAATTGTCACATTTATAAATGGTCAAACCAGTTGTTCGGCATAAACGAACAGGCACCATGTTACAATGCTTTGCACTGACCGTAATCTTCCATTTTGACATCATGATTCATGCTACAGTTTAAAAGTTACCTAATTCCAGTTGGATAAATATGATGTTGTTTTTTGCTTGTTTGAGTAGTTATCAAGCAGACGACAAAAAACATGATAACCAACCATCACTATACATGTATACACAGAGAAGCAATCAAAGGGCAATAACTCCAAAGAGAGAAAACAAAAATTGTCCGTTGACTGAAGTTTAAACAATGAACAAATATAAAAGAAATCTATCAGAACAAAAGTATAATTTTTTCCTGATTCAAAAAAAGGATTCTTCTATGAATTTCAATTCAAATTTCTTGACTGATGGAGTTTCTGAAAAAGAGTCTAGCATTCCTCCAAAACATTTGATTTGGGATCGCTCTAAATATCTCGCCCCTATAAACCTACCTGGTAAAAGAAAATGGCCACTGGAGCCAAGAGGATGATGGGATACATGGTGAGGTAGGAGGCTATCGCCAAAAAACATCCACACATAATTTTGTTACCTGTAAGTAGGAAAGAAACATATTAGTTCAATGCCACATGTAACTTATAATTAAAAAACTCTTCTCTGTTTAATAATAATTTTAGTTGATTATGGTTGGTTGTCTTGGAAGGCAAATGCTGCAGTTTACAGGACAGTGCCTGTGCAATGTAACAGGAGTGAAAAATCCCATTACCAGACCGGGACTTAAACCCGGGACACTCCGACCACTAGAAGGACACTTTACCAATTTAGTTAACTAGTTGCCAAAGATCCACCCAGTCCAGTTTTCGCTTAATTCCTCCCTTCTTTTAGTTCTAAGTCTTCGTCCCCGAAAACAACACAATTTACAACGCTGGTTCAGATATCTCTTTGCCAAGCATTCACCCAGTACTTGAAGCAATGGTTGGTCAGAGGCACCAAATGTAACAGGAGCGGAAAGATGCACAGCCAGACTAAGACATAAACCCAGGACCCTTTTAATTCTAGACAGATGCTCTATCAATTGAGCTAGCTGGGCCCGTATTCATGAAACTGCTCTCATGCTCAAGCATGGATTTTGTGCTCAAGCTGAATTTCTTGTTTTCTTTATAAATTCATAAAAAATCGTATTTTGTCAATGGTTTTGAAAACAAATTGAAGAGACTTAAACCCGAAAACTGTTTTCAATCTTTACATTTGACCTTTTGATAGTTTGACATGATTTAAGCGAGTTACAAGAAAGTTGCTTTGAGCACATACAGAATCCATGCTTGAGCATGAGGACGGTTTCATGAATACGGGCCCAGGTTAACGATAATCGACCTAGTCCAGTCAGTTATGCTACGGCTATACGTAAATGACCTTATTATTGACAAACTGTTAACTGGGAGAGGGCCTAGTAAGTTGTAATGTAAGAACTTGTGCCCAATCCCTTTGACTATTCAGTGTCAATAAAATATGTTTAAATCAATAAACTATTGTAAACTGAATTTGTCATTCTTCTAATATAGCAGTGTCCCAATGCAATCACCCAGCTATTTCACAACCCAGCCAACTTCAGCAGGAGATAAAGATGTGACTTGGACCAAAGAGGAACCACTGTTATACAGGACGGCTATGACTGTCATCTTTTAAGTTTTGACCAAGTGATAACAGGGGGCTTATTACCGAACATGGGCTTATTTCTGGTAAAATGAGTACTTTCGAATCAAAGAACTTACAAGGGAATCCCATCTGATCCCTAAAAGCATCCTCGATACTCCAGGGGTAACATTAATTTTCACTCTCCGCAGACTTGGAATGTGTCATAGCAAAATTGAAGGCACGTGGCTCTAGCTATTTGATTGGTCTTCAACTCTTGTGTAAAAAACCCTGACTAATCGCTAGGCTGATATACGTCCTTTGAAGATTACATAGTAGTGACGCTTAACTGCAAAACCAGTCAATTTACCGTTATACGACCAAAAGATTCTTTTGATGTACATTAAAGGATCAAACTAGTCTTCTTGTACCATCAACAAGGTAGTGCACAATGAGTCTTCGATTTTGCTATGACATATTCTGGGGGTACAGAGAGCAAAAGCAGGTGTAACCTCTGTAGCATCGAGGATGTGCTGAAAGTTGCAGAAATGTAAAGATAAAAGTAAATTACCCTTCAGCAAGTAGTAGATAGTAAACAGTAGAGCCAGGTTGTTGAAAATGGCGGTAGACCTAGCGAGGCAGGCTGCTATACAGTATGGATTGAAAGCGTGTCTGGAAAAATATATAAAAACATGGAAACTCTTTAACTGTTAAAATAATGAAAAATGTCTGAAAAAATAAAAGCTTGGAAGGATAAATATTATCAAATTATGATCAGGTCCGTTAAGATTAAAAACAAAAAATCAAAATGCGAGTGAAAACCATGTGACAATTTTTGAATTTCGGCAGAATGACGTCCTACTAATTATCATACACAAATCACTTACTTCACCGACTTATATATTTTCATGTTAGGGCAAGTACATAACAGGTCAATAAAGGTTAGTCACATAACATACAGGTAAGTAATCTGATATATGTGTTCTCCTGTGCAAACCAATAAGATGAAATGAAAAAGCTGACTATCTATGGTATAGTTTTTCCATCGTTCCCGTTAGAATACTTTTTGTAGTTTTACATGTTCCAAAATACACGTTTGACACACACCAGTAGATAACCCCCAAAAAATGTAATTTCCCAGTAACAACTTTGTGAAGAAACATTAAGATTACTGTCTCATTTCGTACACAAGTGACAAGACACAAAGCTGGAAAACATTTGAGAGGGTCAATCATTAAACACATTTATATTACTTTTATCACGAGTACTGTTCATGTATCCACAGGACTTGTCAGCTAACCAAAGTCGCAATTCAGGGCAAAAAGAAGCTTTATGGGGTAAATTGATAGTTATAAATGTGTAAAGTCTTCTTTAATCAAGTTGATACTGATGCTGAATACTCACGCTATAGTGACCAAAAATTGGACAGAGTGTAGGTCCTCACTGCGCAGGATCAGGCTATCAATATCAGTGGCGTAGTTCTTGACACTGCGGGCCTGATGCACCAGCTGTATATTGAGATATCATATGGGATACAGATTAACATTTTTGAAATGGCGTTAAAAATACAAAAGACAGCTCATAAATAAGTTCATATGACCTACTGGTATACATTGTAAGCAAATTAAAGTTTGGTTGAAATCCTTTCTATTCTTACTACAAATGTATAACAGGAGTGGATTGGACAAGATCTTATTGGCTTTGTAAATCAAGGGACACACTAGTGAAACATAATTATAAATGGAAACAAAATTGTGGTGGTCATGTAGACAACGGCTCATGAATGTGATGGGTGAATTGTTTGCAATGCCATTAAAATTGGTGTGTCACTTTAGAAAAACATGCATGTAATAAGTCACAAACCTGTGGCTATAGGCAAACACAAAGCTATTTCAGTATGTCACCCCCCTTCCTCACCCCACATTATAATCATTCCATTCAATCCCTATAGATTTGTTTGGCCTAATGGAAATACAACATTATACTTGTTTGGTCCTGTGGAAAGTGTTCATATCTTACCAAATATCCTCCAAACATTTTTGAGATTTTCAGCAGCAAAATAGCACACACCAAATCAAGACCCTGAAAGTTTGAACATAGGATAATGAATTAAATCTCAGGGAAGGAAGAGAAGCACACATGTATACAGATAATGTGTAACACAAAACAAGATAAATTTTAACACATGAGTAACACATACAGAGATAATGTTCAGCACATGCTGCAAGTATGTTGCATTACATTAACTCATTCACCCCTGAAGACACATTTGAACTCTTCCAAATCAAAGGTTGGAATAGTTCATGATGAAATTTCAGGGGTGAATGAATTAAGTGATTTGTTAAACCAATTCAATCTAAGATATGTTTTAAGATTTAGCTCTGAAAATGTTAATACATTTCTAATAATTTTAACATTTAAATCCATACAACTTTTGATGCAATTTCAAATTTTCAATGCAAAAAAAAGGGTCTGGTAGATTTGATGATAAAAATATAATCTACATTACCATTACATTTTTAAGCTGCATTAGTTTATCTAGGAAATTGTAATTGAGGACTTACCACAAACATTAAATTTATACTATTTTGTGAAAACTTGTTCATAAAGCCCAAGATCCTCAGCATCAAAGGGGTCTGAAAATAAAATAAGAAACAATTCAATGCTACGTATAATATATGTTAATTTCTTACATTTGACGGACAGTATATTCAGATGAGAGTTCCACTTTGACACACACTGACTTTTGATTGAATATTAATAAATTGCACAGTAAAAAAAAAAAAAGGAGGGGGGGGGGGGGGGGGGGGAATTTGAAACCTGCCAGCTTTTGGTTTTAATTAAATTGTAATTCAAATAGATAAATCAGTTAATGAATTCACAGGAGTTTAATGTATCAATAATATAAACAGTCTAGAAAAAGTAAAAAAATCATCATCCAGACACAAACACCCTGTACTGTGATATACATATTATATACATTGTACATGTATATCTGAAGTATTGATGGTGTTTTATAATCAAGACTGTTATATTGATGAAATATCAAAATCCTGTGATGAACTTTGACAAGCTTGGTAACTATGTAACATATAAGATAAAGTATACACATCTATACAGTACCTATATATTGAACCTGTATGTATATATATGGTAATGTTTTCCCTTTGATGTGCAGATGTGGCAGATTTTAATTGTACATGGGATCACGGTTGCCTTATAACTTTGAGCTAGCTAGAAGGAATGTCCCTTTAGCTCAGTGGTAGAGCGTCTGACTAAGAACCTGGATATCAAGGGTTTGATTCCTGGTGGAAGCACACTCTTCTCTTTCCTGTTACAAATTGGTGCTGTTAACCCTCTCTGTTCAAGGTAGGAGAACCCTTAGTGGGGAGTCAATAACCTAGGTTGGTGTTTGAAAAAAAGGGGGAATAGTTTTAAAGATGTGCATTAGTTAGGTTGCCTTACAAGCGTCAGCTGAAGGGAATTTGCCTTAGCTCAGTGGTAGAGCGTCCGACTAGGAACCTGGAGACCGAGGGATTGATCCCCAGTGGATGCACACTATTTCCTGTTACAAATGGTGTCCGTGGCCCTCCCTGTGGTGACAGGAGTTAGAACCTGGGTTGTGGTGTACGAGGATGAAAACATTTAAAAAGGGGGGGGGGGGGAGTAGTGCGACAAATTTTAATTGTAGAAAGGATTACGGTCACCTTCTAGCTTCGAGCTAGAGGGAATTTCCGTTTAGTTCAGTGGTAGAGCGCCTGACTAAGAACCTGGAGATCGAGGGTTAGATCCCCGATGGAAGCACACTATTCTCTTTCCTGTTACACAGGTGCTGTGACCAGGATCCACAGCAAGCTTCGGGCAAGAGGGAATTTCCCTTTAGCTCAGTGATACAGCATCTGACTAGAAAGTCTGAGATAGTGGGTTCAATGAATTCCTGGTGAAATCACACTACTGTCTTTAATTTCCTGTTACACATCTATATGCTGTTGGTTTTCACCAGTCTATACACTTGACTGTTGCTGTTATTCCATAAATAAGGTGTACTCATATGTCACTAGTGACAAAAGTATCACCCAGTGTTTTAACTTATTTAGCCAAAGATTTTCTTGTTATGTCAAACGCAACGAAGATATTATGAAAAGTTACTAACCTCGTGAAAAAGGTCTCCGGAATAAGGAGAGATGAAACTCTGCTTCAAAGACAGGCCTTCCATCGCTATAAAGAAATAAAAGATAGCTTTACTATAGAATTACTATAGCTAGAAGTGTCATCTTCATGTCATCGAATTAAAGAAATAAGAATAATACAAAATGTACATTGAATAGTGTGTAATTGTTACCTGTAAAAGTTGAATTGATCGTTCCAAAATAAAGAACTTGTACTGTTTTAAATAAATAAAGGCCTTGCAATAAAATCATACCTCTCTCCCATGATGTCGTTGGAGTCACAATTTCAGCTCTCGTGGAAAGCCATTCTGGAAGAAACGATCTGTAAAGCCACAGTCGAAAGATTACTCCTGCTATAACGCAAACCAAAGTTTGCAAAGCCGCCATTCTTGTTTCCGCGTCAAGGTTTCCAAACGCACAATCAATACACGCCGGTCCATCAATAATTCAAACGTCATGAAGACGCTGACTTCATTCCCTGAAAACCGGTAAAGGGAGGCTACTCCGCTCAAAACAAATAAACAAAAACTGCGGGAAGCGCCAAGGAAATAGCAACAGGTAAACTTTAATTACAAGTGAAGTATTCTACTTGAACAAAACTCCATTATACAGTTAACATTTATAAGTCGATCAAAGTTTAGAGGACGTACAGTTTTACCATGACATTCAACTTGTGAATTGATAGATTTCTTCAGCACTCCACAGCACCGTACTGTAGATGTACAGGAGTCTTTAAAAAAATCTGTCGATGCTATATGTAACGTACAAAAAGAGTATCGATTTTCTAAAACATGTGACATTAAAAATAAGCCTAATGTTGGAATCAGTATCAGATACAAATATTATGTGATTTTTATTTGTTTAAAGGATACCCTACAGGCTACAGGTTACAGTTATTATTAAAAATAGAACATGATTAATACCTGCAGTATGTATGACTCGTTCTAATGAAGGTTTTGTTTGAAAATATTTATGAAACAAGTTATAAAGAATTTCAATTTTGAAGTTATTTTGATCAAACTTGTTCATAGAACTAAAATAAAGAAATGTATTTGTGTATAATATGTTCATACTCATCATACATAGTTGCATTGATCATGAGTCAACACAACCTGGACGGTAAGTTGAGTGGAGGGTTAACTTTTATCTTCACTGGCACTGAGTATAACAAAGAAAGTCTTATCAGACAAGCAAATCTTGTCCGTACATTTTCAGTTTCCGCCACTAAACTTTACAACAGCCTGTTCCTACATTAATTGCGAAAAATATAACATTATTTTTTTATTGAAATTGGGAAGATATTCCCACGTTTTTCTTAATTTTTGGGAAAATAAAACAACTTTTGTTTTGCAAGGGAATTTGAAGCGGCCAGTATCTGGCTGTAAAAATAAACAAAAAAAATCATTGATGTTTGACTGTAATGGATGTCTGTATCAATCAAGGATACTGAAGATGCGCAAATTACAATGTACCAATTCTTTGAATCTATTTTTTGTTGTAGATTTCTTACTTCTAGTTTAAGTGTTGAAAACAGTTATTAATGCAAGAAGTCTGTAACATATCTCCTCTCTGAAACGTTCAACGAAACCTAACAACCAGTGGTATGACGGAGTATTCACAGGAAACGTTTGACGAGGTCAAAGGGTATCTCCAGGAGAGAAGAGACGCTGATGCTCCCAAGCCCATTCAACCTAATGCCTTCAGACTTCCTCTAGGACCAAGGAATAATTTTAATGAAGTCTACCCAGGAATTATTCTAGGAAACCAGTAAGTATTTTGGGGTCAAACTAACACAGTTTTGCTTTTGAAGAGTCTTAGTTTAGCAAACCTTTATAAGCTGACACAAATTTTCAAAATGTCATTTTGGGAACTGACTATTTTGTTTGTACTTCTTGTCAGAATTTGAAAATTATTTTGAATCCCTATAACCGCGGTATGTTTTATTGAATTTCAATATCTTCATGGTGTTGAATCATGTGTTAAGTTTTTGATATTCTAAACTTCATGGCTTACCTGGTAAATTTTACAAAGCACTGCTAATTATCAGGCAAAACAAAAAGTTGTTTGTTTCTTGTTACGTACCCTACATGTACCTACCCATTTTTTTTTGTGACTATACCCAAAAACTGTTTTGGCAATTTTCAAGAAAGCAAGAAATTACCATTGTTACATTTATGCCAAGAATCATGATACAATTAAAGACTAGCATTTGGATGAAAAGAGTTATATATGATATTTTTTTATTTTTTTTTATTTGACCACATATATATATACTTAGGTATGTACAAAATACTTTGAAATATATGACATGCATGATAACCTTCATCTTTAACTTTTGTCAACTCTAAACTCTTAACTTGACATTTACAGTTGTTTTTGTTACAGAACATGATTAAAAGTTTTTGTTATTTTTCTTTGCATGTTTTTTTTTCAAGATTTTTGCTGGATTATCAGTTGCATTGCCAGTGTGGGAATGTCATTATTGTAAATACAATTATAGCTTGATGAGTTACATAAAAATACTGACATATAAAAAGGTTTACTTTACGTACATCATTTCTGCATTTCAGTGTCTGTGCTAAAGATCCAGAGAAGCTGAAGAAGATGGGGGTTTCACATGTCGTTAACTGTGCTCAGGGTTCCAAAATCAATCAAATCAATACAGATGCAGATCACTTCAGTGAGGCTGGCATTGACTTCTTCGGGATCAAGGCTATGAACATTTCTACCTGTGATATCAGCCCACATTTTGTGCCAGCTGCCGACTTTATAAATGCTGCCCTTATCGCTGATGGTAATTCATGTCATTTTAACACTAATTACGCCAAACAGAATGTTTAATTTTAAGGTTTCCTGGCAAAATTTTTAGGCTACAGTAGGTAGGTATGGCTATATCTGTTTAATGTTTCGTTTGGTAGTTCTTTGGTATTGTTCCTTCTAAAATCTTGAAAAGAGATAAAAAAAAAATGAAAGCTTTGTCTGGTACATTTACATGTATCTTTCTTGACTAAGAAAAACATAGTAATTTACTACTGATCTAAGAGCCATTTGTATCTGTCTGCTGATTCTTTTCTTTGGGAAGAAATCAGCTAGTTGAATTCCCCCACGTCATCTAAGCTGACCGATTCTTTCCCTCATATACAATATTTTGTGCATGGTAATATGAGCCATGATTTTAAAATAATGTCTTTTTATATTCGATAAGGAAGAAACAAGTTCATTCGAAAGAAAATATGAAAAAAATGACAAATACACAAGACTGACTGATACAATCTATATTATAAATGCAAAGTGAAAGTAATGAGTGGGTTCCGCACATTTTCTCACCACTTGTAATAATCTGTTAGATGACGTAACTGTAGCCTCGTTTTGGAAGTAGTTCATAAATGAGTCGTCGTTGTTATTAGCCTGTCTCTGACAGCCTGGTCTGTTACGATCTGTCACTGTCCACATATGCACAAGCACAATCGCTCAGCACGGAGTGAAACACTGACAACTAGACCTTTATGCCTCTTGGATTTTTTTTCAGGTGGACTTATGTTTTTGATGATATAAATTAGTCTGCCTTGAGAAGCTCAAGAAGGCAGAAAGGTTCTAGCGGTCAATCTTTTTTATTTTATTTTATATAATATATTTACATAAACTCTCATTAGGTGTGTTATAAATATGTTTAATTATTTATATATTTATCATTTTTTTGCAGGTAACAAAGTGTATGTTCACTGTATGGAAGGGATCAGTCGGTCCTCGACTATTGTAATTGCTTTCCTTATGATCAAGAGAAATATGACGTTGAGCGAGGCTGCCACAGCCATACGGGCGAAACGAGAAATATTCCCAAACACAGGATTTCTCAAACAGCTGTGTATTTTGAACAAGTCACTACATGAATCACAGTAATACTGCAATCTGTGAAAAAAAATAGATCACAACAGACCGTATATATATAAAGTAATAACATTTGGAAGGAGAAATTTACACTAGGCACTTATGGATTTCTTCTGTAAGGGGGCAAATATTTGATAAGGCCAAAACAAAAATGTATGTTTTAGTTACCCCCACTAACCCTAGTTTTTACCTTTGACCCTAACAATTTTATCTCGAACGAACACACTCCATCAAGTTTTGGGATAAGTTGTCCACCAGGTGTCAAAAATTGATGGACAAACAGACAAGGCAACTAGATATATATACTCTTTCTTCTTCATATGCACTCACTAAAATCAAATTAAATCCTATATTAATATCTAAAAGACCTAAAAATATGTTTTGTGATTTTTATTATTTCTTAAATAAGCCCCTTCCCCTGATTTTTTTTTAGAAATAAATCCTGACAGCCCTATTTTTTAATTATGTTACCTGAAACACATTTTATTTTTTTGGCCTTAGGCAAAAGATTCCCAGAGTAGTACAGAATGTCAGATTTTACAGTATCCATGTTGAACTTTATATAGTTGGTAATTGTAATAATATGAATAACATTCCATTTTTGTTGTTGTATTCATTGTACTTCACATGAAATTTGTTGCTTTGTATTTGAAATGAGCCTTTTTTTAATCCTATAAAAGTTTATATTTTGTGATATTGTTCCCATGTAATAGGGAATGTATACCTTTTCAGTGGACTTTTATACTGTTATGAATATGTATCATCCAACGGCAAAGTGGAAATAAGCCATTGAAATTTTTCCAGATTTTTATATATTTTTTTCTAATGTTTAGTCCTGGAGAGTAATCAGTCTTTCATTTGTGTGTCATTTTCCCTGGGGAAATATCTCCTGAATTCAGTAACACTGCATTTGCTAAATTATTGCTGATGGTCATCGGGCAAGGTTAAATGGACAAAGGTCACGGGCAAAGCTTATGTATACAAGATATCTCATGAACCCCTGAACCCACTCACAGTTTATATTTACACCATATTATTGAAGTGTCCAGTTTTACACTTGTTTAAAATTTTGGTGGTCATCGGTCAAGGGTCAAAAGTCACAGTCAAAGTTCACACTTTACCACTTTTGAAGTGAAAAATATTGTGTACAAGATATATCGCTAAGGCCAAATAAAAAAATAAAAATAAATTGTGTTTCTGCTTACCCTATAGCTACCTAAACTAGATTTTTGTGCCTTCCCTAAAAAAATGTATTGGCATTTAGTGATGTTTGCTAAATACGTCAGAACTCATGCTCTACATAAGCATTTTTTTTTTTTCCAAAATAAATTAAAATTGCCTACCTACCTACCTACCTACCTACCCTATAGTTTATGAGGATGATAGCCTAACCATAGTATGGTAACATTGAGTTCTACATGCACCTAATAAGGTTTGCTGATCATTGGTCAAAGTTGAAAGGTCAAAGGTCTCGGGCGAAACGTCCGCCCATAGTAAAAACCTTGTGTACGAGATATCTCGTGAACTAGTTAACATATTTAGTTTATATTTACACCATAGTATTGTATATCAAGTTTTACACCTCATTAGATTAGGCTGGTCATCAATAAAGGTCAAAACTGATTACAGACTACATCTTGTACACCATTTCCTCATGGCTGGGGATGAGTGAGGGAGGAAGGGTTCAAGGGATATCTATGTCAGCCTCTGCCCACTCTGTTTCATACCATGTTTATCATAACAAATGCTGACATATCAATATGTTCATATGGTGACTAATACCTAAACTATGCAAAATATTAAAATATTTTGTTGTGTTTTTTGTTTTCTTATATCTTTATCTTCAATATTTTGTGTTTGTTTTTTCAAAATTTTTGTGCTAATATTTTTCACAATTTCCTTCCTGGTCAAACTTCATTTTATTATTAATGTTTTTTTTGTGGTTAAAAGGATTTAAATGAAGTATCTTTGTTTTTCCTTTTTTTTCTTTCCTTTTTTTGCGCAACAGGATCAAAGAAAGTTATGGAAAAAGATGGGTACCATTGTGTCTTTCACTAGCACTCTTTATATATCTTACACTATATTTCATTAATTACAATGTCTAAAACTATACATTTAATCTCTTTTCGATTATGGACAACAATATTTCCTGCAATTTTAGCAGGTTATTTTTTTTTTTTATATAACACACATATATACATTATATAACAATACAAAAATATGTACTTATTTATAATGTTATATAATTTTGTAATAAAAATAAAAATAAATCCTTCAATGGTTTTCGTCCTTATTCTTTGTTACCTGTGCTGTATCCTGAGAATATAAGTTATGGAAAAATATGGGTACCATTGTGTCTTTCACTAGCACTCTATAATTTTGTAATAAAAATAAAATAATTCCTTCAAAGGTAAAACAATGTCTTCAACCTTATTCTTTGTTACCAGTGCTATATCCTGAGAATATTGTTGCTTGATGTATTGGTAGGTGGTTAATGGGGGCGAAGGGGACGACAGTGGGGTCCTGGTTTGAGGAAGTTAGGAGTTTGTGATCTGCGTGGTGAAAGGGTAGGGAAAACTTGGAGTTGAATGTTGGTGATTGTTCAAGAGGTGTAATATTGAGCAAGATGAATTAGGAAAATCAGGTTTTCATTCTCAAAAGGATGAATGGATTGAGATAATATTATCAGGTTTATATATGACTGCTGTATAGATACAGGATTTTTCTAGTGGGGATATGTTGAATTTGGGATGATCATAACATAAGATGACAGAAGAGGATCCTGGATTTAGTTTGTTTGTGTTTGAAGTCCTGTTGTTTAACAGCTATTGTCATTTAAGGACATGGAAGGTTTTGGTGGTGGAGGAAAGCTGGAGAAAAACCACCGACCGTGGCGACCCACGGCCAGTACCTGGTGCCCCACCGAGTGGTGGAGGGTGGAAGTGGTAGCAGAACGTCAAACGCCTTATTAACCACGCACTTGGCCACCATGGCCCCTTAATCATACTTGACAATGTTAACCCTCCCTTTTTTGGAGTGAGACTCCTGATGTTGGGCCCTGAAATTAATTTAGCATTTTCAACTAGTGAAATTTCTAAGCTAGCTATTTTTATTTTCTAAGATCTGATGATTTCATCTTAGAGAAAAGCTTAAAAGAAGCATTTTAAAAGTGTTATTTTTTCACAGTGTGTATATACTCACATATTTTATTCATGTTCTTAATTCTGAGCACGGGTAACTCTCCCCAATGGAAACCTAAAAATGTTGGCAAGTTTGCTAAATGTTGATTATATAGAATATTCGTTTGTTTTGATATTGCCCTGATGATTAGTAAAAAATCATAATTTTATATTACAAGCAAACATTGATACGAATATGTTAAAAAACATAGTCCTTGATGGACTTTAAAAAAAATATAATTTTATATTAAATTTCCGTGTTTAATAATCCGTCTTCGAGTCCGTCAGATTTATTTAGTACATATATATATATAAACGTTTTAGTGACTCCGTTCATACAAAGTTTGTTTGGAAGATTTTATTTCCTCGTTGGGGCGCCGCATTGCGCAACAAACGTTGGTAAGTTTCAATATATAGTAATGACGAACTGGTGACTATCATAAACTATGACTAAACCTTGAGGCGACTCAAAGATCTCCAATTAAGGTCATCCTTATGTCAAAGCGTCCTAATTCGGACCCTCCTTATTTATACTGACGGTGATGCGTGAAATTTGGCAGTTGTTAGTTCAATAACAGTTCCCAACTCGCAAACTAATCGGCAGTTGTGAGACGTTGGATATTCTTCTCGGTATTTTGCCAGATGTTTACAGCTTCAGCTTGTCCTTACACGTTACCGGTAGTTTAGCAGTAATTTGTGACCCTACCTGCGCCAGACCATTAGCCATAGCCTGACCTTGTTGGAGGAAAGGTAATTTGGATACAGTATTATGAGTATACGTACTACTGCATGGTTTGATAACTAAGATACGAAGTGGAAGTACTTTAACCCTTTCACCCCTATGTAACTTCAGTAAACTCTTCCATGTATTGATTTGGATGAGTCCATTATGGTCTACAGTGGTGAAAGGGTTAATATATTAGCATCCTGATATTGTTTGTGTTTGTCTTGTCTTATACAATTTTGTGCTTATATAGTTATAGATATAGAGACATCTATATATGTTAAGTAGCCGGATTTTCCTCTGGCGCTGACACCAGGCTTAGATATTTTGACAGATAGATGTCTGTATCAGGGCCAGAGGAAACTCGAGCTATGTTTAAATTGACAGATGTAAAAAAAAAAAAAAATCTGAGATAAAATACTTATTCTTTTGTTATAGCTAGTATTTCCTTAATTTGCTTGCATGCCCACATTTTGCATTGTCCATAGTATGTGTCATCCATAATACTATCGCAACATATATTATCCATGATGTGTTGTCCGATTACTGCTACCATAACTTTTCTTGTTCATAACGTATTGTTCTTATCAATAATTGCCTATATTTAACATAATGGATGTAGTATCAGCTGAACTAAAAAAAAAATCAAAATAATAACAATAATAATAATAATTGGAGATTCTTATATACCGCTTTATCACAACCTAGTTTGTAGGTCGTCTCAAAGCGTTCACAAATTAATAATCCGTGGTTAATTATAGGGCCTTTGCAACCAGTCGGCAGTCAATATCTTTTTCAACTCTCTGCCATTTTGGCGCTAACATTCAACAATTTTAGCACTGCATGCCCATGCAACCATGTACTGATTTACAGCTGAGTAGACTGGAACAAGTAAAGTATCTGGTATCTTTGAACAACAAAGATACAACACAGAGCTGTGACATGACTCGAACTTGGAGCAATTATCACTTCGGTCACAAGCCCGGCGTCCTACCATTAGACTATGGTTCCTCCTAAAATAGGTTTACTTAAAAGTCCTATAGTCCTAGAGATAGGCCTGGGATTAAAAATTCCGCTTTTTCAAATTTATGAGAGGTCATTTTTGAATTAAGCATGGCCGGCTTCAGTGACCGAAAATGATCGAGGGTTTTAATAAAAAGTATTGTTTCAGAGACGAAACATAAAAAGATGTCTTACAGCCAAGTTACATTCAGTCGCGTAAGGGAATATTTGATGAACGCGAATGATTCGAGCCCAGGAACGAAGACTCCAATGGGTGCCCAACCAACCGTCATGATGTTTCAGTTTCCAGTGGCACCAAGAGAAAACTACAATGAGGTCTATCCCGGAATAATAATTGGTGATAAGTAAGTTAATTAGGTTACACTTTATCAGTACTGTATATTAGCATAAGAAGAGAAAAAAGCAAAGTATTTTAGCAAAAAGATAATTTTAAACAAAGTTGCTTAAGCTTGTTAAAGATTCCTAATTAAGTACCTTTCAGTCACTAACTGTAACTATGTATTTATAATAATCTTTGT